GTTTGAAAGTGCATTTCCTCCAGTCCCACCTTGACTACTTTCCTGAAAATTTGGGAGATGTGAGTGAGGAACAAGGTGAATGATTCGGCCAAGACATTAAAGAGATGGAAAGGAGATACCAGGGAAAATGGAGCATTACAATGGTGGCAGACTACTGTCGGATGTTTCCGAGAGACATTCCAGATGCTACTCACAAGTGTAAATGCCCCAAGAGGAGCCTCACAAGGAAGAATCGAGTTTAGTGTGTGTAGGTGAGCTCATTTCAGTTCAAAAAAGGATTTTCATGAAAATATTGTAATAAAACTTTAATTTTATGTCTATTTCCATTTATTTTGAGGTATTGCCTTATTTAACATAGTTACCTAAATTTGTCAGGAAATGTGATGTCCTATGACAAAATGGAGATCATTTTCGGATTCAGTGCACCAAAAAACATAAAGAGTACGTGGAATAACGAAAACAGCTCTCGAAAAAAATTTTTTTTGCAGACCTCTGTATCCATTGAAGAGAGGTGATCAGGCTTGTAGTGTTCTATTTAATTTACAGACTATAAACACAACACTAAGCATTTTCTTTTTCTACAAATTACAAAGCACTGGTTACTTGATATCCCTGCAGTAGGTTTGTTCCAGTCTATTGCTATGTACTGTGAGCACAATGGGCATTGTAATAATAGAAGCCAAGTACTGCCATTGTAGAACTACTGTATTTAATCTAGTCAGCACAATATGATGTGTAATATAATCCCTCTTTTAGTTCCTTAAGTAGACTTCAGTTCCTTAAGAAGACTTTAGAAAGACATAAGATCAAATTCAGACTTAATTTGCATCAACACTAGGATCAGATGTTAAAATCTATGGTTAAACTTATTTATGCGACAGTGAAGGAAAAAGTGTTTTTGTACCTTTTAGTGCTTGTGTTTGGATGAGTGAAGAAAATAAACAGAATTAATCAAACGACCACCGACTCCAGTTTTCATATAAATATAATCTCTGTTACTAAACAGAGAATATAGATTAATTAAGTGTTTTCAAATAGGTGAACAATCTGCATTATTCATTTTTCTTTGCAAAACTATGTTGCCAACTATTTTTACTTTTTTATTTTTAGCATTATTCTTCAAGAAAGTTTATTTTACTGTAAGTTTATATTGTCTAAAGAAGCTTTCCCAAAGAATAGGGATATTTACCACACTCAAATATGTTTGGCTTTACTTGGTTTTAGCGATATTAAATAATGCATTCCTTTGGAAAAACTATTTAATTTCAATGCAAACATATTTGGGTCTTTGAAAGTCGTAATTATATGATACTAAATATCACATTTCTTCCAAAATGGCTATGTTTGCATAACAAGTTTAGCTTGGTTATTGAATTAACCCAAATCCTAGGCTTGTATAATATACTGGATCGTAACGAATCAAGCTGGATTCACTTAACATTCCAAGCAAAAGTAACCAAGGAAAAAGAACAAAAAGAACTAAGGTTTAGCATGTAGCAAAAATGTGGCTGCTAGGCATTTGATTAACTTTTGGTTTAGCTGGTTAAGGATGTCATGTGAATGAAACTTTACCAACCATACTGATTTAGCTTGTTGGGGAAAGGCAGAGGCAATGTTAGCTTTTCTTTTTTGTGGCCTTCCCAAATTTGGTGGAGAAATAGAAAAATGCAGGGAGGCCTTTGATGGCAATGAAGGGATGGGCTTCTTGAGGTCAGTGACTCCCTACCTGTCTTCTGGCACCATCTCTTTGAAATGTATGCACTGCCTAATGGCTATACAACCTTGTTCTCTGCTAACCCATTACTCCATCTGAAAGGCATCATATTCTCTTCCCAGCCCTTGGGCACATTTCCTTACCAGTTTCTGAGTCAATCCAGGTGGAGCCCATTCATACGTAACAGTGTCAAAAGTTGGATCTTTCCGAGATACTATAGGATTAGTGATAATCATGCGGTTCCTTTTATAGATGCGGATTCCATCGCCTCCTTTTACCCGAGCAGTGAGTGAAGAATATTTTGAATCAGCCAGCAAGCGGCCAATTTTCCGATCATCTTCTGCATCAGAGCTCAGGCTGTGATCTTCCTGGCTGCATTTGCATGACTTGCATATTTTCCTGTGGGAGACAAATGAGGTCATATTTTGATATAAGCTTGGGCCCTCATAGGTATGTGCTCTTTTGGTGGCTCAAGGGTGAACCTTAGAATAAACAGCCAAGGTTATAAATCAAAGTGGATTATGACATAGAACAAAAGATCTTTTTGGTCAAATGCTATCCGGAGAGAAAAATCTCTAGCTAGGATTAACAGAATTTGCAATGGTGTAGAACATAAGACTATAAAAAGCCTCACTGTCAAAACCCTGGAGGAAAAGCCTTCAATGACCGAAGTTCTGAGATTTACATAATGGAAAACATTCAAGTGATTAAACTTCAATATCTGTATTAATCACTCAAGTAGGACACAGGCAATATGGAAATGCAGAATTTTGTAGCAGTCTAATTAAATAAAATCGGGGAGTTTCTTGTTCTGCTTCCAATTATAAAAATAGATTGGTGTAAATGGACCCTTTCTAAGTCTTAATGCTTACACCACATCATGCCAGGGGGGGAATTCTGGGAGTTGAAGTCCACACATCTTAAAATTGCTAAGGCTGATAAACATCGGCCTAAACAATGCTATGCTTTCAGGTAACATTCATAAAGGCAAATAGAGCTTAAATGGAGTGTTCATAGTGAACATTCCAGTATTAAAATGCTGTAATGAAACTACAGGCTCCTAAGGTCGCACATATGTGCTAGTCGTTCCTGACTCTAGGGGGCAGTACTCATCTCCGTTTCAAAGCCAGCGCTGTCCAAAGATGTCTCTGTGGCCAGGTGGCTGCCATGACTAAATGCCGAAGGTGCACAGAACACTGTTACCTTCCCACCAAAGAAGGTAGCAGTTTCTATTTTTCTACTTGCATTTTTACGTACTTTTGAACCGCTAGGTTGGCAGAAGCTGGGACAAGCTCACTCCGTTACGCGGCACTAAGGATTCGACCGCCAAAATGCCGACCTTTCTGATCAACAAGCTCAGCGTCTTAGCCACTGAGCCACCGTTCCTGGAGTGGGGCTGAAAGGCGAAAGGGAAGCAATATGTTCCCTCCCATATTTGGGCACACCAGGTGCTTTGACAAAAGAAAAAAAAACTACATAGATATATATTTGTTCCAACTGGATTTGCCAAACCTCAATCCAGAATGAATGCTAGTATTACAAAAGAAGTGCACGAACTTCTTTTTTTGGTTTTCAGTTCTCCTGTGCACTTCCAAAGTACATCAAGTCAAGGTGGATTACATTTCACTTATGAGGTAAAAAAAATAGTATAAAGAGATTTTTAGGAAAACACTGTTGAGGACCAAGAAATCATTCCAGTGTCATTTCACAATGACATTGTACAAATCGATTCCTTATCCTAACTGGAAATATGAGAAATAACAAAGGGATAGAATTATATTCATCATAAAGCAACGGGGTATGTATTTTTGTTTTCTGTAGCTGCCACAGTAAGGCACTATTCCTAGCCCCTAAAATTGGCTGCAAAGCATTGCCCCAGTAATTTCTGGGATCTATTTTGGCTTAGAAGAATACCTGGCAAAAATTCACTCAAGTTGTCAGAGTTTATATTTTTCAACTGTATGAGCAAGATTTCCAAACCCTAACAGGTTAATGGTAAACCCTAAATTAAGCCAAAGAAAAGGGCCCAATGCTGATTTATGTTCTAAAGTAGGAAAGGTCACTCAGGGCCACAGCTAAAAATTTGGATGCAAAATAGTAATTCAGCACTGATTTTTTTCATTGAAAGAAAGAAAGTACACTGAACCTCTGCTAGGTTCATCACATGTTATTTCATTAACCACCCACCCCCAAATTAAATTTCATCTTTGCATTTCACTGCCACACCCTCTGCAGTTGTCAGAAATCAGTTTTTTTTTAATATAGCCAGCAGCTGCAAAAGGTTGCCTGTATAAAAACTCAAACTTCAAAGAAAATGTCTGACAAATCTTGACTAGACTAGTCCTGGTAAGAAATAGATATACAGTCAAACAAAACAAAATATTGTGCAATGTGGAAAATAGTTTGTGATGCAACAAATAGGATGCCTACCTAGGAATGAGAAAAACAAGAAGCATTAATTAAAACATAAACCTTATTTAACTTGTATAAGCCAAGCCCCAACTCTTGAATTCTTCATGTTTTTTACTCCTCAATAATTAAATCTGCTGCTTTCAACCTGAATTTTTAGTGTCAGAGATGGTTAATGCCTCAGAAAAAAGCAATGTGATGTCTATGGGCCATGGTGGCACAGTGGTTAGATTGCAGTACTGCAGATTACTTCTGCTGACAGCCATCTGCTTGCAATTTGGCAGTTCAAATCTCACAGGCTCAAGGTTGACTCAGCCTTCCATCCTTCCAAGGTGGGTAAAATGAGGACCCTAAATTGTTGGAGGCAATATGCTAACTGTGAATTGCTTAGAGAGGGCTGTAAAGCCTAAGTCTAAGTGCTATTGTTATGCTTCTAAAAGAACCAAGATTTCATTCATTAATACTTTATTTCAACTTCACATTACATGAACAGTTATTATCATCAAACATTTTATTAATCCTTTGTGTAACCAGGGGAATGATGGAACTGTTAAAGTATGGAATGATTCCACAGCTGTAAATAGTTCTAGATTTAGATCTATATCACACTACAGACAAGGCTAATTTGAGAACATCCATGTTAAATGTTTTACAGCAAGTGGCAGCATCTGGCTGATTTCTGTTTGAACTTGGATACTAAATAGCCTGGCTGGAGGAATTCTGGGAACTGAAATTTACACATCTCATAGATCTATACAAGAGTTGCTGAAATTGAGAAACACTTATCCACAGAATACTTAATTTGTTGATTTGGCTTATATATTGCTAAATCAGCATGTCTTCCCAAATGTTTACAACTATGAACAACTAGTGATTTACCAATAATCCTACAGCAGAAATAAAAATAAGTGGGGAAGAAACACTTAGCGTAATAGCAGCAATGTTTCTCAAAGACCTAACAAACGACTCTAGTCTTAACCATCTTTGGAAAATCAGCAATGATGACGATGATAAATTTTTAGGGTTGAAGCTACTCCATAGGTGTGGGCCACCCTAGAAAATCATCGCCTCTGGGCACTATTCCACTAAATTTACATAAACTATGGATTTGAAGTACATCCCAAAGAGGACATGTTAAAAAGGTAATCCTGGAATTAGGCTACTCTGAAATAATCTGGTTTTCCCCTCTAATTTTTGAGACCCAGAAGAAATAGTATCTTATTTTGTTTACTTTGGTGTGCTGTGTGAACCCCACCACTGTTTCACAGGAACTTGGACAATTACAGCATACTCAATAAACTATAATTTAAAAAAATTAGCAGAATGCATTAATCCAAAAAATATCAATAACAGTTTCCTGGTTGTTAGTGATTGCTGTATTTCCTTAACTGCTGTGTACTTTTATTTGTTGTATTTGTGATTTGTAACTGTGTTAACTTTAAATATTGTTCATTGCCCAGATGTATAGCTGGATACATAAATTGAATGAATGAATGAATGAATATTCTTTAGAATGGAAAGGCTATTTGCCCATTTTAGTTCTTGTTTTGTCTAGTATAGCTCTCCAGGAAAGCTAGTTGAGGACTACAGACCATACCCCAAATAGTTAAGAAGCTATTAATTCAAAGAGCTATTCTTTCTCAAGTCTGAGACAGAGTTGTTTCCAACTCTAATTATCATATACAATTATCATATATACCATAATAATAATTGACCACCCAGAGTTACCTGTAGCAAGATGAGTGGCCAATAAATTAGATTGATAGACAGATAGAAAGACAGACAGTCAGACAAAATCCTTTTAGAAAGAAGGACGGACTCTAAATCTGGGTGCTGAATATTATGTTTTACTCTGAGCTATGAATATCTCAAAATAAAGTGTTTGAGAGGAAAATATTTTAAGCAGCAGCAAATTTACAGAAAACTGGGAGCCACACAGTCTATGTTTTGTATTTTCTGCAAAATCATAAAGAAAAGAACATAACTTGTTAGATTTTATACCTGGCAGTTTGTTTGATTAACAGATGGTAATATCATTCAAAATTATTTTGGGTTCATTATAAACATAACATTTGTGCTGCTGAACATGTGTGGGAAAAATAATGTACTGGCAGTATAAGCTAGCTTCAAATGGAATCAACATGTCCCACGATTCTAATCTAGATTTTAGTTTCCTTAGAAGCTTTACTGAATCCATATTTCTGTCTCATCCACAGATTGGGAATAATTTTATATGAAATGAAACTCATATTTTTTCAATGATGGGCTCACATGGAAGAAATCCAAATTTTAGGGCGCTATTTTTTTCCACGTTTCTTATTGATTACAACTGAAACCTGGAGGAATCTGTATCCAAATAACTCTCACAGATAAACAATCATGATTCAAATTGGATGATTTGGATTTTCCCCCATAATAATTTTATTGAAGATTACATTAGACAGATAAAAGTAACAAAATTACATAATACAGAAAAACTGCCCCCCAAAAAGATTCACACCCAATTTGAATCCTTCCTTTAATATTTAATATTTATATCTCCATTTCTGTTTAAAGAGATTCCCCCCCTTTTTTTTCAAATAGCCAAAACCAGCCCCAATTTTTTTTTAAAAAAATCAATGGAAATACCAATTCATTATTTTAATGTTGATAAAATACATCAATTTTGTAATCTTTCTTCTTTCTTCAAATGATCTCTAGATTCATTTTTTGAAATGTTTGAAATATACCTGGAAACTGAAATACAAGAATAACCACACCACTCACATATAGGGAGAGTAAAAAACAACAACCTGATAAGCCTTAAAAATGAGGCATGAAATTCGGGGCAAGCATTACCAGAAATCTTGAGGAAGTATCCCAATGGGGAGGGGGAAGAGTCTTCCATTTTTTTTAGTCTGAGGCAGAAATATGTGCTCAGAACATAAGACTCAGTTAATAGATGGAAAGTAGGAGGAAGCTGGCATTTAGCAAGAACAGTACGTTAACAAAGATCACGACGATAAAATGCAGAGGAAGGATAATTCGAGCAGTTGAGAAAGCTACAAAGATATCATTATTGTGGAAGAAATCCCATTGCCAATTGTGTAAGATTAAAATATAGGTAGGAATGGTGCACCTTTATGTGAATTTTGACTTACTCTTCTGAAAATGTTTTTCCACTGAAACCAAAGCAGATTGAAATCCCAATATGCCCAACAGCATTCATATAAAGTAAATGAATCAATATAACCAAAAGGTTCAAATATTTGTATTCAACCAAGCCATAGAATATTTCTAACTTATTCCCGTGGGAGTGAAGGCTTCAGGGAATGTGACATTTTTAAAGATGACATCATTGCTGAAAGCCTGGCATCCTTTGACAGAACTATCTGAGCTGCTACCCACTATTGGAAATGCCAGAAGTCAGAGATACACAATTACTGTATATAAGCCGGCCTTTAACAAAGAACGTAACAATTCAAATGCAGTGAATGAAAAATTAGCAGCATAATGCTACTGATCTGGAAAATTGACAAAGGGCACAATGCAATTTTGCAGCCCTGCTACCTTGATCTAGAGTTCAAATTTTCTGAAGGATAAAAAAAACCTATACTAGTTCCAGTCTAGTCTACAGTGTATTAAAGTTAATAAGTTTCTTTCCATTATCTGAACGGAGAAAATGAAAGATCTCAAGGCAAATTTGCATCTTGAATAGGGGCTGCTTTTATTCTGTTTCAGCAACTGAGAATAAAGACAGATGGTGGATTATTGCCAGTTATACAAGGAAGTTTAAACATACACTGTCTACACTGCTTTTAATAAGATTTTTAAAAAGCTAGAGATTCCACTAAGCACTTATTGCTAGTGTGCATCCAGTATATTTTTCTAGTTTTGACTTAATGGAAGTGAAATCCACTAGATTTGAATGTGGGCATGTATGATCTAACTATAGACATGGTATCAGATGCGCAACCTTTTAATAAAATGTGTTAGTCGAAAAAGATTTTTAACATAATAGACTGACAAATTTATATTTGTTCATTTAGCAATAGTACTTAGACTTATATAATGCTTCACAGCCCTTTCTAAGTGGTTTACAGTCAACATATTGCCAACAATCTGGATTCTTATTTTACTGACCTTAGATGGATGGAAGCTGAGTCAACCTTGTGCCGGTCAGAATCAAACTTCTGGCAGTGAGCAGAGTTAGCCTGCAATGCTGCAGTCTAACTTCTCTGCCTCCACAGCTCTTTACAATTGCCCTGAATACAAAGTAAATCAGAGCAGAAAATAAGAGCAAAAGGAATAGTAAAACTTTTACCTCCAAGAATGTGGTTCAAACCCAGCACACTTTTCTCTGCATTTCAAACAAGGCGCACCTCTTCCTGATGGTTGATGGGTAATTGAGACCTAAAGAGAAGAAAGTTTTTTAAAATCTATTTTTATTCACTTATACTAGGCTTAATGGATACACATTACTACTAGTGTACACAATATTAAAAAACACGATAAAAAGCAGCTGTAACTGTTTCAGAGAAGAGCAAGTTTAACTCAACATAGTTAATCAGAGGTATACAAATTGTTGCTACTTGGCCATACACGCCCCTTCGTCTTATTTCAAAATTCTCTGTAAATGATGAATTCAAGTCTCTTGTAAATACTATATTCTCCTTCAGTGAAATCTGCTGCTTCAGTGAAATTTTGCTGCTTTGGCTGCTTAATGTCAACTTGAACACCACTTTATCTTTGCAGTTTTTGATTCCTTAACCACGGTGGATAGCATGTCTAAGCATAATGTGTGAACCCAAGAAGATATCATCGTTGGTGAACATGAACCATGATCATGATTTATTTTAAAATTCCATTTACTGTTAGCTAGAAATGGAGATTGTTGTGGATTTGCATACTCTGCTTATCCATAAAAACATTAACTGTGGTTAAAGAGAGACAAGTTAATGTAGGTTTATTCTTAATCATTTCCATCACCTTTTCCAAATAGAAATTTCACTGTAAGATACTCAGTAAGCTCGTTCAAGGAAACTTTCCAATTCTTCAGGAAGAAAATGTCTTTCCTAATGGGCCATATACATACTGAGCACACAGAAGGATTTATTAAAATGTAGAAAAACTAAATAGTTGCTTTGAATAAAGAGTAGGAATATTTTAGGGTTGCTGGGTTTATATCATCTTGTACCTGAAACCCCAAATCAACAAGTTCCAGGTGCATGAGTCATCCTATACTTTTATCGTTCAAGTACGGAATGGTTTTCAAAAAAGTTCAAGCTAAGGGATGTTGTACTAGTATCTGAATGAATTCCCTCCCAGTGATGGGCTCTGGATCCCGTTGCAATCGGTACGCTGTGACGGGGCCAGTCATCCACCTCGGGCACATGTGCTGCACATGCATGTGCATGCCGCCACCATGCACCACCACAGCTGCTTGGTGAGGTCATGCAAGCGCTGTGCGCGCATGCACAATTGCCCTTGCCCTGTTTCCCTCTAAAAGAGGTAAGGAACACGGGTGGGCCCACCGAAACACTGTTCCGCCTGGAACCCACCACTGTTCCCTCCCTATCTTTATTCTTGTATATGCCAAAAAGATATATATCTTTTTCTGAAATATAATTTGAATGGAACAATTGTTCTGTAGCTGTTATTTTTTAAACTATTGATCAGAATTTCTTGCAATTCAGTGATCTATCCAAGAATCTAAATCTACCTAATGCTCACCCCCTCCCTTGATTATTCCCATTCGTTGTATCTGGAAATAGCAAAAACATGGGATATGCTCTAGCTTACATTAGTATCCCATATATTTTATAAAATTGCATCTGGAAAAAACCAGATAGCTCAAACGTAAATATTAAATGTCCTATCAATGGTTATAGAATGTTTTCATTTTTAATGTTTGAAGCACATGAATGAAAATCCAAAAACCATGCCATGGTTTATATTAGTTTGAGTTATAAAAGTAGCAGTGTCTAGCCTTGGAAACCACACCTAACAGATCCACAATATAACAAGTGTACAATGTTAAAAACTTGATAAATGTCAAGTGTTCACATCCCTACCCTGATTCTCAATCGTTTAAGATGTCCCAAAAGTTAGTTTTATAACACTGTTCTGGTTTTTCTTGATGGGATGATGGATGATTTGTCCCATAAAGAAACCTATACAAGCAATTTGAGTTGAAATTAATTTTAATTTGTTGAAGAACAGAGGTTGCTTTGAGTTTATTTGGAGCAAGTGTTTTGACCATTGTCTCTAAATTGGAAGGCATTCTTGCCTTTGATCATTTTCTGCAGATTAAATGTGACAGTGGAGTCAAAGAAAGGGAAAAAAATGTACTGGAAGAGCCAAAAGTTAAGCTGTACCAAAAGGAAACATTGTAGAGAAAAGGATAGCATGGAATGATTCCATAATCATCAGCCTTGTCATCACCTTATTCCCTAGCCCAAGGAATTTTTGTAGAGGCCAAAAATCTAAAGATCAGATCTTCAGATCTGGCAAGAAACTCTGCTTGTTCAAGATCCTAACCAGAAAGGTGCCAGTTTGATGTTTTTTTTAAATTTCCTTCCTTTCTTTATTTTTTGTTGTATATGTTTTTTTAAACAAAACCAACAAAATAAGTATTATGCATTTATGTTTCTGTACAGATTGCCAATATACATACCAGTCAGCACACACACCAAATATTCAACCCCCATTCGGGTATTACTAGCTCACTGTGGTGGAGACTCAACCAATGTCCACAATCCCAAGGGAGAATGTTTGCTTGCCATAACCACACACTCTTCAGACCTTTCACTTTGTGCTCAGAAGATGCAGCCCAGGATTTACAACGAAATGGTTTTGTGTGTAGAGCTAAGCCAAGGCTTATTTAACAACAGTGTGTCAAATAAGTCACAGTTAGCCTAGTTCATCTATTGTGGCTTAGCATAACACTGTTTATGTGCTTTTGATGAAGCACAAAAAGAGCAAATGCAACCATCTATTTGCAGATGCAAGTTGGCATTATTCAAGACAATACTCTGTTAACATTAGGAGGACAGGCCTTAAAATCTGAAGAACAACTCAACTATCTTGGTAAAAGCATCATGGATACAGATGGGGGAACAGAAGCAGATGTGAAATGCTGAATAGGCAAAGCAATTGCCGTCTTCCAACTTAAAAAAATAATAATCTTAAATGGAAGGATACAGAAATGGTAGTAGCGGACTGACAACTGTGGAGTAAGCTTGTAGCCCAATGTACTTAGAACAGGATGTAATAAAATTATATAT